CGACGGCGCGGGGAGGCGGGTGGCGGCGGCGGCGGCGATGTGGGCGGGAGGAGAGGAGGCGTGCGGGAGGGGAGGCGAGGGGAGGGGAGGGGAACGAGAGAGAGGGAGAGGAGGCGCGCGGGAGGGGGAGGGGAGCCGGCTAGGTCATCTCCACGCGGGCCGGCCCTTTTATACCCCGTGCAAGTGAAATGACGAAAATGCCCCCGGCGGGGCAGCCTATTTACGCGCGGTGGCACGAACGGGGTGAAACTGTTCATTGCATCAGTAACTATTTTTTATCCGACGGACGAGGTCATTACAGGGCTCGATCTGACGGCCCAGATCCGATCAAGCGCTTCGATCCGACGCCCAGGAAGCCCAAATCGCTGAGGAGGCGGGATGATCCTCCTCATTCTTATTTCTTGATTCATATACTACTTCTAATTCCTATGTTTTGATGTTCTCCCAACCGAATGAGCCCCCGAGCTACTAGTGACATGCTAAAACTAGGCATACCACAAAAGATTCGCCCATGTTGTTGCGCGGGGCAGATTGGATAGCATGTCGCAACCGAACAACCTAAACGCACTGTTTAGGAGTATCTATCTATCCATCTCCAGTATGCACGCACACAGCACCTAACCCATATCTGAATCCGGTGCAAAGCAAGTTGCGTTAGCATAGTTCACCTCGCGATCGAGCAAATAATATCGATCCTTGCCGGCACCTCTCTCCCTCGATCTACATTCCTCGGTGGCGATAAGCACCGAGGCCGATCGCGGTCGCGCACCCAACTGGCGAAAGGGGCAGGGGGAGAGCGACGGCGCATGGCAACTGGGCGTGGTGCGGGTGCCGTCTGCTCCCTATCCGGGCTCGCGCTCGCATCCACATCGATCGCATTGCGCCACGCACAAGGCGCGGCCACCTCGTTCCCCACTCGCTCACTCGGCCGCGTCGCCCACAAGGGCCACGCATTGTTCGCCTGAGCTCGCTGACCATCGACGGCGACGGCGGCGGATATGTAGATGCTCCGCTCAAGGGCGGTGTTGAAAGAAAATCAAAAGCGGCCGGGGTCCCTGTCCGTCTCGATTGGAGGGGCCACCGCCCGCCGGAGAGTCCAACTACGTTGCTTTCGTGCGCTTGAAGAGATCTCGATGGCAACTGCTGGGGGATGGCCGGTTGATTGGTTTGCTACATCCATTGGTCACGTCGAGATTGATGAGTTTTCGTGTTCCTTGACGCTTTATCTATGTTTCGTGTTTGATTTTTTTTATCAGCGCGAAATGAGCAATTTCTTTTAACGTAGTACAAACGCACTGCTCATACATACGCACATAAACTCATCCGTGTGAACACACGTATGCACAGCTTACCCCTATGAACATCTTGGAAAGACTGAGCTGACATATCATCTTGAGATTGATGAAATTGCCACATATGCGTTTATAGTCGACGAGAACGTCTTCTCTAATTGAACACACATCGCCGGCAGGCCTAAAATAAATTGAGAAAAATGCGAGCACATATGCTGAGATGAGAATACCACGGTCCTTCTAACCATCCAAACACAGATTGGCGAACCAACATGTGGTTGGATGGTCAGGAGGACGGTGGTATCCCCAAGCCACCAAGGTTTAAAACCTAGACTTGACGTTGGTGCTCACATTATTTCTAGATTTATTTCAGACTTTAGGTGATATTTGTTCAATGGGAGGAGACATTCCTGTTGACTGTGATGCGTCCGTGGTGACTTTGTAAAAATCTCAAGATGCTATGTCGGCTCAGCCTCTCAAAAATGCTCAGACGGGCAATTGTATGCTTGTGTATACGAACGATTTCGATTGTACCGTGTTAAATAAAAAAACAAACCACAGGTTGATTCGCGTGTAAAAGGAGTGATGTGGTATAATAATTTATGAAAGCGATTTTGGTAGTTGATGTACAAAAGCAACCCGGAATTTTCTTCCTCGACATGACAACTGAGACATCTGGTTCACCAGCACCACAAAATGTGCAATTATTCGAGCAAGACAAAACGCAATAGTGTTCCCCTTTGCTGTCTCCGGGACTCTTTTTCTTTCCGCGAACACGCAAAAGCCTCACGTATCTTTGTATTGATAGGTAGATGAATTACAGATTTATTGCTGTGCTGGAGAGAATTACATGAGCAACAACGATCGGTAGCCCGCGTGCATGTGCACAGGGATGGCATAAGCTAGCCACCGCAGCGCGCGAAGAACAGATGTGGGCACACCATCCACGTTGGCCTAAGGCTACGTCTCCGGAATGATGTTGGCTAGTTCCTTGGTGCCGGCGTGCGCCCAAATGTTGGAGGTATAAGAAAATGCGTCTGAATGTGTACAACTTTAGTCTAGCACCTGATTTTCCTAGGGTTTTCTCTTCAACCGTCGGCATCGTCATCGTCGCGTGTATCGGTAAACCTCCGTCGACTCTGTAGTGGTGAGAGGATGAGGTAACCCCGGATCCGAGTGTCAGAGTCTGTGGTAGAGATACAAGCGGTGAGACAATTACGACGTCATGGAAAAATTCTCCCACCCCGCCCTTGTTCATGTGGTATTTTGTACCGTCAGGAGCGTGTGGAGAAAGTGGACCTTGTGGAGACGTCGGCAGATGGTGGTGCTTCGGCATCGAGATGGTCTTCTGGGCTCCAATTCACCTTGAATTCACCCGGCAGGACAAGATCGAGGAAGATTCGGCGCAGATTCTACCATCTCCTCGAGGCTGTAAGGTGTGTGTGTGTGCATTCATAGGGGTGAGTTTCTTGTCCGGCATACGACCTTTAAGTTTTGGTGTCAAGGGCCACAGATCAATTCGGGGGTTCTCCGACAACGACCATGGATTCAGGGAATTATTCTGTATGGACATGTGCACAACGGCTTTCCGACTGTTATCAACAAGGTCATGCCGACTCCAATAGGCAAGCAACGATAACACGCGTCATCAGCTCATTTTGACGGTGATAGTAGTCTCTGAGTGGTCTAAGGACCTCGATGTAATTTTTATTATGTTTGAGCCGCTTTGTGTTCTAATGATTCATCTTTATTCATGTGTCTTGAGGTTGGATTCTTTCGATCTAAGTTTCTCTTCATCGGCGGCGGTTGTTGTTCTGGTGCGTTGGTCCTATGGGGTCTTAGCACGACGGCTTCTCGACTGTCTACTACAACAAATTGTGCCCGGCTCCGGCGAGGGAGCGTCGATGACGGCGGCTCGCCTTCGGCTCATTTCAGTGCTTGTAGTCATCGCTAGGTGTTCTACGAATCTGGTAGTAATTTTTATTATTTTTTGTGTTTGTTGTACTGTCATGATTGGAGATGAATAGATCGAAAGTTTCAAAAAAAAAAATATCCTGATGAGTGGGTTGGATGTGATTTTAAAAAAATAAGTAATACTCCCTCCGTTCCTAAATAATTGTCTTTCTAGAGATTTCAACAAGTGACTACATACGGAACAAAATGAGTGAATTTACACTCTAAAACATGTCTACATACATCTGTATGTTGTAGTCCATTTGAGATGGCTAGAAAGACAATTATTTGGGAACGGAGGGAGTATATATGTGCAATTCTTGGAAGGCTAGGCTGAACCAGAGTGCATGGCAGCCATCCAAACAGGTGCCGCATATATAGCCACGGAGCCAATTTGTCCTAGCATCTAAGATAAAAAAAACTTATGCTGGAAATTCCGGTCATGTGGGCCCACGGGGATCGCATAAATACACTCGCATCCACTCGATTCCCCAGCTATGCTATGAATAGAGTGAAGGTGGTTGGGGCAATTGGCATGCACAGTTGGAGCGCGCCCACTCCATGAGCATGACCCCCTCCTCCAACCCCCTCCTCTAGATAGAAAGCCGCTGCTCCCCGTCCGGACGACGAGCCTGGCTGGTGGATGATCGGCCGGACATGGACGCGCTCCTCCTCCTCTTCCTGCTCAAAATGGAGGCTTTCCACATACAATTCTTCCCAAGCCCCTGAATCTTCACACGCTAGCTAGGTTGGTAGATTGCTGCTGGTGGATAGGTACGTCCGTTTTGTAGGCATTAGGCGGCAGCAGGCAGGTGCTGTGTTGTTGTCGTGGTACAGATCACGTGGTGGTGGATGGGCCTCATGGCCGGGATGCTCCCTGGCGTCGAGTTCGCGAGGAGGCGACGGCTCCGGCCGGCGGCGGAGGCCCCGTGCGCCGGCGCGCGGAGGCCGTCGTCGCTCGGCATGTTCGGGCACGACCACGCGCACCTCGGCTCGGCAGGTTTTGCGAAGGTAATAACAACTAGTAGAAGCTGGACGCAGCTGGACGGCATCGCCCGGGAGGCCAAGGAGAGGCTGGATCACAGGCTCAGGAGCCAGAGAGAATCTGTGGTCAAGAGGTACTTCACTTATGGTTCTTCTTACCCTTTTTGAATTCACTTGCTCTTCTGTCAAGAACTCAAGATTCAGACCAAATTCGGACTTCAGAGACCCCCGTTTGCTCAAAAATTGTTTAGATTATGAAACAAGAAACATGGGCATGAATCATTAGATAGCAGGTCCCTTTTTAGTGGAGGAGCCAAAGTACTTTTGTGCAGGAATCTAGCTTCATGTGGCATCGTTTATGTTTTCAGAGCACAAAATTCAGTACTTTTTCGGGTAGGGAGTGATATAATTTACTCATGATTGATGAGTTAGTTCCATGAACTCACTGTTCAATCAGTTGGGCTGCATGCGCTGATTTATTCTCGAGAAAATCTGAGTCAGTCAGTATCAAATATATGCTTCCTTGTGTTTTCTCTATTCTCGAGCAGAGCTCTGCCTTGGTGGCTCTGTATTTGATTCTGTTATTCGAGCTCAATTTCCCACGAACGGTGGCTTAATCAATCCTCTGCGTTGCGATTTGCAGGCGCCACAGCACGGGAAGCCTCCGGCTCCCGGCCCCGTCGAGCACCACCAGCGACCACCCATCGAAGGACACGGCAGGGGCGGCGAGCGCGCTGCAGCGGGAGGTGTTCACGAAGAGAGGCGGCGGCCGGCGGTTCAGCTGGGGCCGGAGGAAGGAGCAGCAGCAGCACCAGGAGCAAGCGGAGTGCGCGGTGTGCCTGGAGGAGTTCCGGGGCGGGGACGTGCTGGCGCACCTCCCCTGCGCGCATCGCTTCCACTGGGCATGCGCCGTGCCTTGGGTCCAGGCCGCCTCCCGCTGCCCCTTCTGCCGCGCCACCGTCCGCCTCGCCGACCACCAGCTTGTCTAGTGTGCGTTCGTGTCTGCCCGGCCGGCGCGGCCGCGTGCGCAGGGCCGGCGGACCAGCTGATCATGGCGCGTCGGTGGAGCCGCGTGGCACAGTAGCAGACACCTGCGCATGCATGGGATGCCTTGTGTCGTGGCCGCCCCCCGCCGGCAAGTTGCAGCGCGTGGGGCAGCAGCGCACTGCTGTTGCTGCTGCGGGTCGCCGGTGTCGCCTGCGAACCAAGCGTGTGGTGGTGTGCGGGGAGACGTGTCCGGCCATGTCATCGACGCCGGGAGTTGCTCGCTCGGTGGACCGCATCTGGCCGTTGATTTTTTTTTTCTTTGCTGCCTTTTTTTTTAGGATCTTGTTGCTGCTTTCTTTGTGAGCGTTGGGCAATTTACCACCAAGTTGCGGTTTGCTGTGTGCTGATATCTACTCCATCATTTCCAAAATATAAGACGCGTTTGACTTTACATGATTTTGACGCATGACTTTGATACTAATATATACGCATCAACTATATAGATTGAACAAGTATAAATGGCATCATCGTATTTGCCCAATGCAGCTGTAGATGCTCTTACTGCTTGATCCATCAATCAATTAATGGAGTGATGAACCCGAAATTACAGTAGGCTTATGAATCTGAGCAATAATGTATATGAACCGTGCGTGTGTCATTCATGCATCCGCTTTCTCGCTTCTTTTTCTCTGACATAATGAATCTATTCACTAATCTGTCATTTATATGTAATCACTTGGTACACCTTCAGGTAGTGTCCTAGCCAAGACTTATTTTGATACGGTGTGTGGCCGTAGATTAGGCACAACCCACACGCATTGCAACGGTGACTTCAAACCATAGAAGGATGGGTGGTATGCCTTGGTCTCCATATCGTAGAACGCGGCTTGTTTGCCATCCTCGGAATAACTTGGGAAGTAGATCCTATTGCCATGCCCAGCTTCTGGTGACACCACAGAGTATGACACTCTGAAATCAACAAACAAGGCCGCGCCACCGATGTCTTGCACCTTCGTCCAGGCCATCTCCTCCTCGTTGAGCTTGAACACCCGCGGTGGCTGGTCTGCGTTACGCATGAACACGGAGACCAGCTCCCCTCGCAGCTCAACCAGGTAGCAAAACTCTCTCCCCTCGTGGTGTCACCTTCGAGGTCCATCTCCACATGAATCGGGTTAGGCTTCTCCAAGATCGTCCATGTGTCGCTTGCCGAGTCAAATGTGCCAAGGTTGCCCTTTCTCCCGAGGCAATAGAACTTGTCGTGGAACAAGACAGGGTTGTTGTATGCCACTGGGAATGGATCCCCTTCATAGTACTCGAGATGTCGTTCAAACCACTTGGCCTCGCCATGCCGCCATGTAAGGGCGCCGACCGCTTTGCCATCCTGTCTGCTGTTCACGGCAAAGAAAATGCAGTCCGGAGATTCTGGGTCCATCGAGGACCACGACAAGCCCATGAAGTTGTATTCCCAATCGAGTATGGCCATTTCCACGATGTCCCCGGTGAAGGGATTTATGATGTACATGTCATCAATGTCTGAGCTGTCCGACATGGCTACCCATCCGTCTTTCGAGAATTGGAAAATATGCTCGTCGTGTTCGTTTTCGGCCGTGTCAAATGTTTCAACATGCATGATGTACTCTTGGCCACGCAGAGGGTCGAACAGCTTGCACGCCCCATCTCGGCCGGAGCAGTGCAGGAGCCAAGGCCACACAATGGCTTGCTCAACCGGGTTAGTCACAAGGCTCCATGACTTACACACTACCGGGAATCGGAGACAATCCACCAAAGAAAGCCTTGAAACGACCAGCTCCAGCAGTTCTAGTGGCAGATCATGCCACGGGCGTGTATTCCAAGAGTTTGCCTGCTCCTCCTTCAACTTGAAGATGGGTTCACAACTCTCTTCTAGCACGAGGCGGTTGGTCAACAACAGTCCCGTTTCTTCCACCACCGTGGGCAAGGGCGACGGCGGAACAGTCCAGAATGCTCTGCACCCAGGCTCGGTAGGTTGCGGAAGGATCTGATGGAAGCTGGTGGTGTTGTCGTCCAAGCAAAACTTGTATAACTTCTCACAGTCGCAGCCCGACAACACAAAGTACACACAGTTGCCCTGTGGAATCAACCCCCCTGCCCCTGGACGAACGGGCACAGAGAAGCCGTAGCGCCCAGAGATGAGGAAGGCGCGGTCGCCGCCGATGCTGTCTACCCTCGTTCAGGTGAGGGACTCGAGATCTAGGCGGTACACAGCGACGCTGGTGAGTGTGCCGTCGTTGACAAAGTCCCCAAAATACTGTGTGACTACGTTGAAGAGATTCCCACACGACTCCACGATGTAGTACATGGGCGGCCTGTCGTGCACCTCTTTAGCGCCAACGAGAGTGCCGACGAGTCGCGCTCGGACCGTGCCGTGGCCGTCGTCGTCGGCTATCACGGTGAGCGTGTCGGAGGCAAGGTTGTCGGTGGCGAGCGTGTAATGCTCGGTATAACCGAAAGAGTAGATCTTCCCTCTATAGCCGATCATAAGGTATGGGAGAGTGATCTTCGGGGACTCAAGCCTGGCCCACTGCGAGTCACCGGGCCGACAGTGAAGCAGGAACCTCTCCACACCGTCTTCTACCTCATGTACAACGGCGATCACCACGGCGCAGTCTGGGTGCGCCGGTGATGTACCGAGCGTCGCGCACCTTGCTATCTCATCCGACGGCTCGTGCAGCGGCCGCAGCGGGATCTTGTTGGCTGCAGGGTCGTCGTCTTCGGTGAGGCGGAGGAGGAAGCATTCGGCGGTGGAGTCGTCGAGCATGAGCAGCCAGTCGCCGTTGTGGATGCAGCCTAGGCACGTCTTGCCTTGCGTCTCGGGAACGATCACGGCGTGCGAGCTTCCGTCGGATGAGTCGATGAACGTCTGCCGCTCCCCTCGCGTTGCCTGCACCAGCCATGGCCTGGTGCCGAAGCCGGCCGGGACCGAGGGTTCAGCAGCCATGACCATGATGCTTTTTCTTTGTTGCACGGCCGCTTCTCTTCTAACCATGGATAGATAATATGTTGGAGATCAATTATATACTAGAAGTACGATTAGTACATCCATTAATATACGATACGAGAGGCAGGAGAGAGTTCTTGTTGGTAAGCTGCGGTGGCTTGATACGGTTTCTTTGTGTTAGGAGGAAGGAGATGCGTCTACGTACGAGTGGATCCGATGCAATCGTTGTGTGCTTCCTCCTCCGATAGACTTTAAGCACGCACGCGCGCTGTGTCCAAGAAACTACACCGTCTCCTCTTTTCGATCGATCCAGTGAGTGACCAGTATACCGCGCGCGCCTGCCGGCGATGAAAAGCCTAGCACGCCGGCCGGAGCGTCGGGGCCTTCGTACCGCTCGTCGGCGTCGGTCGGACGGCACCTCACCTGTCGCAGGCACGGACCTATCCTCTGCTGCCGGTCGCGTACGTACGTCGGCATCAGTAGATGCATGATTTGGGTCGATGCCGACGCCCAGCAGGCCGCAGCTGGCCTGTAGTACGTGCCATCGAGCATGCATGCATGCGTGCGTGCTCTCAGCTGCGCGCACGGACAGCGTTCGACGATGTGCTCCGGTCCTTCTCCGGCTGCATGCAAGCATAATTATCAATTAATCAACCCGGTCAGTTATTGTCCATGCATGGTGCCGCAGCATCCAAGACGTGTGCATGCCATGCTGCCGGCCATTTCGTTGGAGTAAAGTCTGAAATAAACCCTGACTTTATAGAGGCTGGCGTAAACGAACCTTCACCTTTAAATCTCTGAAATTGATACCCTAACTTCTAGATCCCGGTCTATTCTAACCCTACGCATGTTTGGCTCATAGGGAAAAGAAACAATCTCAGCCGGGTTCATCCGCTACCCTCACTGACGGTATGGGGCCACAAGCCACTTTAATCTCTTCCCTCTTATCTTCTTCTTCCTCTATCCTCTCTTCTCCACTGCCGATCCCTTTTTCCTCTTCTACTAGGTTCGCCGAGCCGCGCACTTGTTGGCGCCGACAGCCGAGATGACCCTGTCTGGGCCGACGACTGGAGATGGCGGCTGCTGCACATGGAGCTCGGACATGGAGCTGGCCATCTAGCACGGGGCCATGGTGTTGGCGTCCAATTGATGTCCGCTGAGATGAGCGACGCGCAGGCAAGCGTGGAAACGGCCGGCGGCGCGTAGCTACGAGCAACTGCATAAAGCAGGTGCCGTCGGGCACGAAACCGAAGCACGGCTCCGTGGCTGCAAACGGTGGCGCGGGCAGCGAGCAACGCACCGGCCAACGGCGGGATGGTCCCATTGTAAGACAATAAGTTTTGGGGGAACCAGCGCGACCCTCTAGGGGTGGCTTATCTCATTATATATAATGGATGTGTTACAATACGTACAATATACGTACATAAGTACAGAAGCTATACATAGTCTAACACCCTCCCTCAATCTTAGCCACTTTCTAAAGAACTGAGAAGGGTAAGATTGCGCCTACAAGCCTCAAACTGTGGCAGAGGTAAAGGCTTAGTGAAGATGTCTGCAAGTTGATCCTTAGATGAGATAAACTTGATCTGGAGTTGCTTCTGTGATACACGTTTCCGTACAAAGTGATAGTCAACTTCAATGTGTTTCGTTCGGGCATGAAATACTGGATTTGCAGAAAGGTATGTAGCATCGATGTTATCACACAAAAGAATAGGAGGCTGTGGTTGAGACAAACCCAACTCCTGAAGCAAAGACTGCACCCAAATAATCTCTGCAGTAGCATTAGCCACAGCCTTGTACTCAGCTTCAGTACTGCTACGTGACACAGTAGCCTGTTTCCGAGCACTCCAGGCGATCAAATTAGGGCCAAAGAATACTGCATAACCCCCC